TATTGCAGACACACACAAAAAGGCTTGGTAATGAGTTTATTTACAAGGGGAAAGGTAAAAGGAACAACCCAGGGAAAGAGAGAAATACAAGTTAACTAGAATATCATATCAGTTCTGATTTGCACTCCAATAGCATGCTGAAAACTGATCAAGAGCAAAATGACCAGCCACAAACCACCAAGTCAAGAGATCCCCGAAACCCACATGTTCGGTTTTATCCTAACCTGGTTGCTCAGCTCCACCCTCACATCCCCACTTGCTTCTTGTTGGTATAAATGGGATTTGCAGTTCCGGTATCTGGGGTGAGGTGGGGTCCATGAAACCTTTATCTGTTACAATACCATAAAGATTCCCCCAGAATTTAACTATAACCCAGGGACAAGCAGAGAAGAGAGGACCATATGTTTACTAAAATATTCCACCTCATAAACCGGGAATTAAAAATATTAAGGGCCCTCCCTGGTTGGTGCAATGAGTTAAGTCTCAGCACAATGAAGCTATCTGCAGCCACTGCAGGTGAGTTGGAGTTCATTGGTGGCCAGGAAGGTGACCTACAGGGAGCAGCAGACCTCTCCAGTCTCTCCCACTGCTCACCTCAGCAGTGTATTTAGCCCACCTCTGTTGTTCCCCACTCTGTCTCTGATGAATCCTTTCACTGCTCCCAGCCCCTGCACCTCTGTCCTATATCCCAGTTCTTGTATACATAAATAAACCCTAAAACAATAAAGATCTAAGTGGAATAAAAATATCCTGCTCTGTTACACTTCAAGTTTTTAAGATTTATTTATGAACACAGAACTACCAGAGCTGCAGGGGCAATGAGAGGATTCACCAGAGACAGAGTGGGGAGCAGAATAGGCAGTTTGATGAAGTACACTGCTAAAGGGAGCAGCGGGTGGGTCAGGAGAGGTCTGCCCTGCCATGTGGATCACCTCCCTGGCAGGAATCAAACTCGTGCTGAAGTGGCTGCAGCCAGCTTCATAGAGCTGGGCTTTAACTGTTTGCGCCACCAGAGAGGACCTACACTTAACTTTTGAACTGGGATTTATACCCTGAAATGGTATGTATTTCTAAGTGTCTCAGTACACACGCGTATAAGCACAGAGAATAGTTTTAACCTGACTGGAGGAAATTTTCAGGAGGGCCTGATCCAAGGCCCTGGTGAAGAGGATGTATGGGGGGGGGGGGAGAGGGGGGTAATCCAACAAAAAGAAGTGTGAAAACTTAAGGGCTTTGTTTCATTTTATTGGTGTTTTCTTGGGCTTTTATTGGGAGGAGGAAGATTAAGAAGAAAAACAACAACACAGATCTGTAAATAGTAATGCAAGGTAATCCATACCTGAGTGTTCAGTCTTTATCTTGTGGGAGAAATGTGATTGGGCCACCATTTCAGAAAGATTATTCAAAGGAGGTGAGTTAAAGATATTTAAAAGATTCAAAGTAGGGAGTCCATTTAAGAGGTTTTTATAAACTAAATGATAGCTAAGCTTATATAAGGCAGTGGCTGCTGACGGAAGAGAGGATAATAAATATTGAAGAGAGAATTGAAAGGGAATTAGTTACTAATAGATAAATCTGAAGAGGGAGTGAGAAACGAAAAGTTATCTCCAAAATACTGATAAGACTTGGTGCCATTAATTAGATTAGGAATAACAAGAAACAGGAGAGTGGGTTTAAAAGATAATTATTTGTTTCTGAACATGTGCACATTGTGCATGAGATGTCTGCAGGACATTCTGTGCACTCTGGTTTCTCAGATAAAACTTCACTGAGGCTGTGTTGTATGAATTATAGAATGTTACACAGCATCCCTGGCTTCTAGCTACTAGCCAGTAGCAGCCTCTGTCCCAGTTATAATAACCAAAACCTACCTCAGACATTGCCAAATATTGCCCCTGGAGTGGGAGGACAAAATTGCACCAAGTTGAGAACCAGCTGTTATACACAGCTGTCTATAGGAGTGTGATATCAAAGCAGAAGAATTTCAGGAAGAGAGTACTCTCTTCCTGCAGACAAGTTATGTGAAACATACAAGTGATATAAAGCTAAGAAGCAGGTATTGGATGCCTGCTAACAAGGGTAGCTTCTGTGTAATGGTAAGGGCAGAAGCAGGAGTGAGAGAGTATATGGAGTGAGAGAGTATGTGGTCAAGAGTAAAGGGAAGTGGTGTAGACTGCTTTCAAGAAATTTGGCTGAGAGGGAAGGGTAAAGATAGGGCATTTTCTGGACATTGTGCAGAAATAATAGGGAATTATAAATGTGTTGACAGGCTAAGATGAAAAATCCAGTTGAAAAGCTTTCCATTTATATTCAATGATTTCATCTATTCATTCATTCAATCATAAATTATTTAATATCCTCAGCTCTAGTTGTAGAGGATAAAGTGGATCTCATCATAGTTCTAATCTGCATCTCTTTTATCATTTTTAGCATTTTTAAAAAAGATTTACTTGTTTATGCATACAGAGCTGGGGTACAGGCCAGAGGAGCAGAGGCCATGAGAGGCTTCACCAGAGACAGAGCGGGGAGCAGAATAGGCAGACAAAGTCCACTGCTAAGGGGAGCATCGGGCTGGTCAGGAAAGGTCTGCGGTGCCATGTGGGTCAGCTCCCTGGCAGGGGATTGAAGGGCAAGGGATCAAACACGCACTTGAGGTGACTGCTGCTAGCTTGCAGTGCTCAACCTAACTCATTGTACCACCAGGGAGGGCCCTGAATCTCTCTTATTAGGGGTGAGTGACCCCAGACATTTTTTCACTTGTCTTTTGGCCTTCTGAATGTCCTCTTTAGTGAATTGGCTGTTCATATCTGCTGCTCATTTGTTAATAGGGTTATTTTGTTTTTGTTGCTGTTAAATTGTATGAGTTTTTAAAAATAAATCTTGGATATTAATTCCTTATCAGAGAAATGGAGATAACACATTACCTGATTTCCAACTTTACTGTGAAGCAACAGTAGTAAAAACAATATAATATTGGCCCCCAAAAAAATATGTGGATCAATAAACAGAATCAAAGGTACAGAAATAAACTTATACATATACCAGCTCCCAATCTATGATAAAATATGGGGTAAAGGCAACCTGTTTATTAATGGTGTTGGGAA